CTGACAGCCAGCCCTAATCTGTCCAGGGCCACTTGGCATGTCTGGGAGCTGTCACAGATGATGGCAATATCGTCTGAATAAACCAAGTCAAGTAGTAGTTTTCCTGAGAGTAGCTCCACACCTTCTAAGTCGTGTCCTGTAAACGCGATTTCCAAGGCTTCCGCAATAATGAAGAGGAAAGGTGACAGCGGGCATCTTTGTCTCACGCCGCTGGAGATATTGAAGGGCGAGCACAATTTGCAGTAAGCCCTCAATCTGCTCGTGCTACGCGCGCATAATGCTCGGATAATGTTCACATATTTATCAGGTAACCTTGCTTGAGTAGACAGCCCCAAAGTGCAAGTCTATCCCCCTAATGGAATGCACCAAGATATCGAAGAACACAACGGTGGGCCGCCAGTATATGTGACGGTTCTCTAACAACTGACGCAAAGTGAAGATGTGGTCAACGCAGCCACAACCTCGAAGAAACCCGGCTTGCTATTCAAGAATATGGCTTTTACGAGTGCCAGTCAGTTTGTGAAGGGTGAGAGAGGCAAGCCATTTGAGACGGTGGAGATCAGACTGATTCCTCTATGGCTACCGCATTCCGATCGTAAGCCTCCTTTGAAAATTCGGACTATGACGGAGCGGCTTCAGTCGGTTGGGACAGTTTCCTGGTCCCAGGGTTTGACTAGTAACTCGTATAAATCATCCGCAACAGCAGGTCCGCGAGATGGAAGAGGGCTAGAGGTAAATTATCTGGTCTCGCGGCTTTATTTAACTTCAACAGTCCGATCTCAAGTTCGATTTCTGAGCGAGAGGGTGGATTTAAAGAGACAGCACAGGGAGCTGCGCGATCAGTGTCCGGCGAGAAATACAACAATTCTGACCGATTAAATTGCCTTTCAAAGTGCTCAGCCCAAAGCTCTAAGCGTTTTGACAAATTGTGGATAAACTGTCCACTGTCTTCACGTATAGTTTCATTAACTTCAGGTCTCCTGCTGCTCGGTTCCCGAATCAGCCGGATAAATTTACAGTGGTTACCAAGGACAGCGGTCAGTTCCATCTCTGAAACACGATAAGACCACCAGGATTCGCGGTCTCTCTTTAGGCTAGCACGGAGTTTTTCCCGGAGCTCCTTGCGAGTTTCTTTGTGTTCGCTTCCAGCCGGAATATCCCGGCGAGCGTCGATATGTTCCGGAAACTGCGAAGTGAGGCAGTGTCCATGTTGGCGATAAGACTTACCACATGAAGATTTTCCTGCTGTTGGTAAGGACCGGTGAATATGAGACCAGTGAACTTCAACTGCATCCAGTGAGCGCTTACTCAACTTGCATAACAGCGAACTTTGATAGACATTCAGACCAGCTGGCTTCGCCAGTTGGCTGTTGTCGATGCGGTCACAACGTCGTCATGGGTCCCCGGCAAAACGCATTCGCACGTCAGCATATACAAGTGCATGGTCGGTGTCCACACATGTGTTCCAAATCGGGCGACAGTTCTAGACGCAGCCTCTCCATCGCTAACTTATCCCCAAGTGAATGGTTTGCGTCCAAGGCTGGTTCGAGACGGCTGGTGAGCGCCAATTCACCCTCCGGCGGGTGCTGTGTCGGAAATTAATGCTCGCAAGAAATTATCGAGCATCCTCACACAAAAGAAGTAACCTCTCACCGTTATCACTACGGGAGCCTACACCGTGCTGACCGCCCGATGCAATTCAGCAGTGAAAATTATCCGATTTGGGGGTTCTGATCCGCAGCCAGAACTACAGTGCCTGAGCTTCTTCTGTGGCGAAGGAGCTCGTTCAGTTGACAATAGAAGTCGTCTTTTACCGAATCCTCGCTAGGGTTTGTGGGTGCATAGGCAGCGATAACGAATAGATACCTGTTAGTCATGCGTGACTCCGAAGTTTCGAGCAAGCCAGCCACGCTGACCGCACACAACCGGATACTGATTGGAATCCGGTCAACCAGAGCAAATACAGTCCGTGGACTCAGGGCAATACCAACACCGGATTGGCCGGTACTCAAAGCTGCATCGTCACCGGATAGGCACAATGAGAAAGTGCTGCTAGTCTCACCTGAAGGGGATCGCAAATTGGGCACAGCGCTCGAGTCTTGCAGGCGGATCGCCGATTAGCAGCAGATACCGATGGCGAGGGTCTCTATTGTTCGGGAAGGTGTTGCCTGTTGACCGATCTGTAGCAGTGTGCGTACATTGAGGCATGCCAAACTGAAGGATGATCGAAGGCTCCAAATGGAAGTCGATGAACTGGGCTTGGCCGCTTGGTTGGATATAGGCTTGTCGACAGGACAGAGATGACGCTCTGCCTTCACATGTTAGTTGAAACTAGAAGGTAAAAGTCTAGCAAAGCAAGGTAGGAGTAGGCCAAGAATTGGGGGTTGAAAAAAGGACGGATAAAAGTGAATCTGGAGCGGGACGGTAAGACAGCAAGTGCGTAAGAAGGGGAATAAGAAGACCAGGAGGCTTGAGCAGTAGCATCCAAACCTCCTATCCACCCTGCTCGATGCAGCAGATAGGGCACCTTTCTTTTTCCTCTGCGGTGGCCAAAGCATCAACAAACTGTTTGAAGAGAATTTCATTGTATAGCGTGGGCAGGATACTTTCAGGTTGCCCAGGCCTAGACAGGAGAACGATTAGTTTTCTCAACCAAACCCTTTGGTCAAATACCTGACTGCAAAGCAGCGGGTTTGGCGTTGGGCTACAAGGCGTCCGTTTTAAGGAATAACGCGCCACCTTATTCTAATCCCCATCCTGGTGGACCAGGAGGCTGAGCTTGTCTGGCCCCTAGCCATTGACCAATCTGGTATGAGTGGCTCTGAAGGTGCACGAAAAAGCACCATCCAGCATAGCTCAACGGATCACTGAGGCGCAAGAACCATTACACCATGGTAAGGTCCAGCCTCATTGCGATGGATCTAAACACGGCAATACAATTCGAAAATAATTTAATGTATTCAGTCAAATGGTCACAAACCAAATATAGATTTTGCTTCTTTAAGACCGAAAAGTCATTTGTAGCCAACGTCGTTTAGAGTTTCGCAATGATTTCTGGCAAGGAGTGTCTTCGTCTAACGGTTTTGAATTGCTACTTTGTCAAAGAAACAAACTTGGTCTTGCAGAACGTCACTAGGAATGCCTTCAGAATGTAGTGCTCAGAGTTACCGAGAAGAGCCATTTTTAGTTTAGGAAATAACGGAGTTTTATTTGTGAAGACAAAATTTAACTGCGCGTTCAGTTTGGTTTCGAAGTTCACTATCTTTGATAGACCGAGAGATCTATTGAATGCTGTCACTCTTGCTGAAATCACAAGCAACGATAAGGATAGCACTCTCAATTTTGGGCAGCAACGCTGAGAAAAAATAATCGGCAAACTTCTTCAACTCAGACGATGGCGTCAGGAGCTATGTAGACATTTCCAATGAGTACAACATGAAAACCACTCAAAAACTGGTTTACATTCAGTTTAATGGCAGCTAATCTTTGACGTTGAGTATGTAAACAACAACGCCACCGATTTACACCGGAGTTCGTTGGTGTGAATGATAACGCTTCCTACAAGATTTTGCGGCTTTCCAGGTCCATCTGTCTATATGACAGGGCAATCACTAAGTCTGATAACCTCGTCCTCAACTTCAGGATGGAGTTAACGTTTTTGAAGCATCATGATACCTGTATTTGCAAATTCCTTACGCATCCTAGTGGCAGTAAGGTCGGCGAGTTAACTTAGGAAAGAGCGTACAAAGCTGGAGAGAATCGGCGGGATTTGTTATCTGTCTACAGAACAGTATCTAATGCCAACTTGACATTCCGCGCGAGGTTTTCTCATTTTACCAAAATGTTTTTTCAAAATTCGTTTCCTGATGTTTCTGGCCGGTTTACTGCATTTGGCATAAGATGTGCTTCGAAGGGCTTTTCGAAACGATTTCATAAATTCTGCAGTGTAGGACGTTATTTATAACTTTGGAATGGTTCGGGAAAACGAAAACAGAAAACAGCACAATGATATGTATACACGCAGTGAATAACGCAACAACTGATACACTAATAGAGACTTAGGCGGTGTTGAATTTGGTGAGCAAAGTGAGAATCGATCGGCCAGCAAATACCATTCCCTGTCAAAGGAGTCGAATTATTCCGTCAATACGATTAACCTGTGGAGCCAAACTCACTCACATTGGCTGCAAACCAGATGCAGAATAGTGAGCGATCTTGACCTCCTAAATTAGTATGTTTCGGTTAGCAATAAATAGAGTTAACCTATCCTGTATGTATACTCTCTCTGCCTACCGAGTTCTGGCCATTGCATTCGTCCGGTTGGCTGGGTGCGTGACTGAGAATTCAAATAGTCACAGCCTTATATGGCAGCTAGAAGCAGTACAACAGTTGTCAGTGGCAGAGAGAGGGCAAGAAGAAGCTTACAACCCTATAAAGAGAAGAACTAACAAAGCCCAATTTGAAGGCCCCGCCAGAAATAACGCTCCTCGATATTGGTTGGAACTGAGTACTGTTGACTCTTCCAGCCTATTAAGTTGGGGTCTCGCGACCTATTATGTGCCCAGCCTTAGGCTTTACAAAACACTCATTGTATCCGGCACCAGGAACACGTTTGTTGCTGTACTTCCCAGTTGGACCAATTATTCAGGTTCTGTTTGATGCTGAGTTATCTGTGAGGTAACCATGATTACGGTACGCATCAGCGCAAACAGACCGAAACTTATCTCCCAAAGCAATCCGATCTCCGGAATTTAGTCACCGGTTTGCAAACATTCCTTGTTAACTAGACGTGGAAACGCTGCATACGAATATTTATTTGATAAATTTAGGTTGTAAGCCAAGTTCGCTTCTTCTCACGTAAACTTCTTTATCCTCTATATCATAATACTTGTACGATAGTGACGCATCAGTTAAACTCTGTGTTTCATTACTGTTGGTGGTGCTAATGATCATTGCATATATGTTCATGATGTTCATGGTCAAATACTACGTTTACCTACCGGGATCGGTCCATTTATCAAGTGCTTACAATCAGGATCACGGCTCTGCTGCTCCCAGGCCAAGGCAATTAGCTGTAATAGATATAACAGAGAAAGGAAAGTAAACTCTTTGATCAGAACAACATAAAGTTTATTCCTAAAATTTGATGCTAATAGCTGTGCAAGCTGCTTCATAGTTGAAAATGTCATGTAGCAAGCAACCGTTTTTCTATAAAACGCATGCTGCTTTCTGATGGAAATAGCTCAATACAGTGACTAATGTTTCGTTCCCTTTGAACGTAAACAGGTTGGTCTCCGGAAATGATTGAAATCTCGGATGAAGAACCGAGTTGAGGAGCCACTTTAGTCTGTGCTCTATTATAAGATTTTTCTCATGACTGGGTGTCTGTAAGATGTGGACACACAGGATAACTGGATAGTTTTAATAAATTGGAATGCTGTTCCCAATCAAAAAATATTAACAGGTATTTTGCCTTCACAGAGGAAACACGGCTTTATAGAAGTGAGTGCAGAGTGGAAGGTATCCGCCACTTTCATGTTATTATCAATCGACATGCAATACACCTTGCAATAGAGGCAACATATGCTTAGTTGGTCAACTCGTGTGTAGAGTAAGACGAACACTCAATATAAGCCATATCAAACAATCTACTAAGTTAGGTAATTCAAACAATAGCTTGTAAAAACGATGGCAGTCAGGAACCAGCCTACTACGCTGAATTTTACTCGATTTAACTGCTCATACTCACCGAACACGACCAATAACTTATTGGCAATTTGTATATCAGTAAAAAATTCTACTTATGAATGTATGCTGGACGAGCAGTCCGGCGTCACTGCCTTCAACGGAGCAAAATGTCACCACCTTCCTGGGCCTAGGCAATCGCGACCAGATCTGTTAAGTCGCGCTGCACCATAGCCATATATATATATATATATATATATATATATATATATATATAGTGCCACATCCAAATTGCTAAGCACTAATTATAAGGACGACTAACAGATACGCCACAATTCGCAAACTTCCATTGGCATTTTTTCTATCTCTAAACATCTGTTATATACCAGGAGCACTTGTTTGACTCAAGATTAACAAAAATAACACTAACTCAAGAAAGCGCTCCTTCGCAATATTGTGGTGGTTGTGAAGTATAGTTACCACCGATTACCGCCAATCGATTATACTGTTTTAACATTACGCACTTCTGAAAATATTTCATTTGACTCGTCGCAAACATGCACAACAAGAAAATAATCTTTCTGCGGCAGCTATGGATTGTATACTTGTCGCACATGCGAAAATCAAAATGTTTACCTGTAATTTGTTGAACCTTTCGAAATGATCCCACAAGTCGTGGATATCATAATTAAACAGAGTGTCAGAGTCGACTACTATAACCTGAAATGATGAAAAAGAAGCATCAGAATTTCAAACTTTAATTTAACAATCCATAAGTGCATAGGTAAGGGGAGTTATGATGTAGTTAATTGTTAGGGACTCAGATCACCTACTCCCTTCACACGCCCGAAATATAATTTGACCGCCGGTTCGTCCTATCGAGACTCGTCAGTAGTGTGTATCAATCGGCTCCATCAGGATGTGGACACCAATGATCATGCATGGCTACTAGCGGCTAGCACCGCCAACTAGCAGATTATGCTACTTAGCCATGATGAACATCTGTGGACAGTCATAATTTGTAAACTAATTGCGATATAGCGTGACTTGCATGACAGTAGATAATGAGTCTAATTCGTATTCAAGCATGAGGTGGATCAGCTGGTATAGAACCTGCTTTGAAGAACTCCCAATATATAAGTGCACAGAAGAAGCAAATCTTGGTATGCTGTTCAATTGATATAGAAAATAGCCAAACTATAGTAACTGGGTAGCAGCATCGTTATTTATGTCAATTCATACTTGGTTCGCTCACACAGTTTTTGAAATGGCTCAGCTATATATTCCTTATAAATTGCACTATCGCTTCTACCTTAAACACCACATGGTGACAAGGTCTTAATGAGGCAGATTCAGAGGCAAAGTTTTTATTAAATATTAAACTACGATGAGATCGTTTTGGGAACATCTCCCTATGCTTTTATCAATCAAGCGTTATAACAGCAGATGCTTGCTTATCTCATACATGAGGACAAACAGACTCAGTGCAGCTCATTATGAGAACAATCGCTTACCTTCTCCACGGATGTCGGAAGAATAGATTCCATAAACACTTTGCATAGTGCTGTAGGTCCAGCGCGGTGTCTGTTTGGGATTCCGCTTACCAAGTGCTATATGAAAATACAAAAGCACGTATACGAGCATCAAGTGAGTAGCACAAATCGATTAAAGCCACCAAGAATTAGATGGTGGTTGTATGTCAGTTTAGATAAGCAACTTCACGTTTTTTGGAAAATAGTTTCACCGGAAGTTGCCTGTTGTGGATATACAAAAATATGTATATACATGCTGTTCAATAATTAGTCCACTTTTAATGCCACAATATTAATCTACGACACACAAAACATCGTTTACGTTAAACATGTACACCTGGAGATATAACAGATACAAAAGCACGCTACCGGAATGCAAAAAGGCTTAACATCCGAAAGGTCGTTTGTTCGGGTGCTTCCTACTTTTAACAGATGATTGCACATAGGTTCAAATTCAGTGGTTGACTTCAGTGCATTTGAAATACTATCAACTCTTACCGCGCCAAAATATGTTCCGTATATTTTCTGTCATTAATCCAGCAATTGGATTGATGTGGTGAAATGGCTCCGATGGACTTGCTTTTGATCTGAGAGCCGCAGTTTGGAAAATTAAACGATCGAATAGGATGTGTTCGACAAAACACCCACCGATCTCACTGACCTGAAAATAATTTGTCTTTTGTGTAACTAACAAACTAAGTAGGTTTTCAGAAGAATTCTGGTCAACGTTACACATCTACAGTCATATAGCTAGTCGCACTTCGAATACCGACCGCCTTGTTTTTTATTTAGAGCTTCTATGGAGTGCATGTGGATGGAATACTGCAGCACTCAATTCATTTAATTACAGTGGGACAGGATCTCCTGTCAGCTGCGTAGGTATTGTGCTGGTTATTTCTCCTTTCTCGCTCTTTTTGTTACCGTTAGAGTTGGAAGACTTTTACATCTTCAGCAAAGACCCAAGCATTTGTTTGTCCGAATCAATTCCTATGCATGCCACTTTTACACCAAAGTGCTTGTGTTATGCCTGTCTACAACATTGCGAAACATTTATCTTTTTCGTAATTGTATTTTTCACGTGAGTTGCATTCCTTTATCATTGGCACTGTGCCGACTCAAAGCACCTTGTGATCTGCATTCGTTTAGCATATCATGCAAATGATAGATCAACACAGAATACGCGCCCAAGCACTTGACAACCATGGATGATTGGGGAAGTACTTTCTCTCACATGCAATCACATACGGATATGCTTATATTACATCAAGACGCGCAACGCATGACGGTGGCAACGTATAAATCGGCCGTTGTCTTCGCACTGGAGCACTGTTCTTACTTTATCTGCCTCGGGTTTATCAGTTTTCACTATAAATTTTTGAAATTTGCTTCGGTTAGCCCAGTTACTAGATCAATAATCATGCTGTACGCAGCTTTTTTGAAAATGGTCTAACATATTGCGCGTAAAGCGCGAAATTCCCAGAAGACTTGTTATAAATTTAAGAATGCTCCTCCGAAGCGATAAACTGGGCTTCTACACATTATTGTCAACAGGATGCAGACCCAAGACCGTTTATTCATGGGACACTTATGTTCCTAAGGTCACGTTTCCAGTTATACAATTTGGCATTTTTAATAATGCTGTTTTAGAACTTCCACAGTAGCTATTAAAAATGGTTGCAAACACACCCACTCGGGTACATAAATCTTGTGTTAATCTGACTTCACTTGATAAGTGGATGGGAGGAACACTGACGCGCAACCTCCATCTGCGTCCGCGGTGCTATTCGTCGTCGTACGCATTTCCACTCCGGATCCAAGCTGGACTCAGGGCCATCATACATGAATACGCGATAATTCTGTCACTTTTCATGTTACTGTGTCATTATAATAATAGATCATTCGCATTAGTGTCCACACCTTCTGATTTTGAGTAGCGCTCTACCAGTCTGTAGCGCGAAAATACGAAGTAATCTACTGGACGGGAAAAGCATACCTTGTTTTATATATAGACTTGATGTTCCAATTCTTGCAAGGAACATTGTTTTACGTTATTCTGCAAAATTACTAACTTTAAAATGGTCCACACAATTGAGTACATGTAAACAAATTAAAACGCTCCGCTGATATCTGTGAGAATTGGGAGAAGCGGACGTTTCTAAAGAATGGACGCCTTCTAAATTGAAAGATCTGTGTGCATATAGTTGCATACCGCTTAATAAACACATAGCATTTGGTCCCACAGCCAGCAGTTAGAAATTAATACCAAACACATAGAGTCCTCCATTATATACAAAAGTGCAGCCATCGTACTTCAAAACAAAATGCGCGCGACTTCTGTCATTCGAAGCAAAATTAATGCTAGAAGCTGCCGTACACGTGCTAAATATCAGTTAAAAGTGTTTTCACAACAAAACTTTTATAAACATATCTTTAGGTCCATCTAACCTACAGACTGTCGGATGACTATCCTGATTTTGCAACTACTCTCCAATTAAGCGGCACAATTGCTCTGCACTTACCCGAAGCTCGGCTAATGAGCGGTTACTAGTGTGGCCACTAGGTCCGCTTCTTCACTTTGAGCTACTTGTTACGAGAATATCGAAAAAGCACGCAATTGCATGGGAAATATGAATTTCTCTCTGTTACTGTTATCAGCACAGACTTTGTACTAGCTGTGGCTCTGGTCTCAGCGCGCATCCATCAAACACGCACTCTAAAATACACGGCTTCGGAACAATTACAGGCTCTAATATTTGCAATACGGAGACTATCCACCAAATTACAAACCGGTGCATAACACGTAGACAGAATGAAGCGAATATACTACACCAAACCTAAGTGAACATAAACTTCCCATACGTGCTTCTTAAATCACCAGTCCAGACATATAGGTTTGTTATGATAAACCGGTTCACTTTACCCTGCATATGTCCTGTGATTTGGAGCAGAATGAAATGAAGGTTGTTAGCCATACATAGGCTAAATCTGGGGTATCCAGACATTTGCGATTGTATCGGTCCGACGGGACAAAACAGTGCGCACACACGAATGAATGTAATCGATTCACAATTCCAGAATGGAAGTCTCGATTAATGAATAATAGTCATTTGCAAAACAGCTGAATGCTTACCAAGTATTTGTCTAAGTCGTGTAAGGAATAACCAAAGCCTTTCATCCTCAAGCTTCTAAAGAGCGCATCCACCAAAACACTGGCACTCTTGTCTCGAATAAGGTGGATATGAATAGGGATCACTTCTTGTTTTCCATTGGTGGTGTTTGTTTGACAGCCAGTGCTAGAAGACATATTACCGCAGCATTCTAAACGGTCTGTTCGACAGCGACCCTGATAATACAGAGCACTTTTAAGCATGGTTATTGCTCTGAGGGAAGCTGAGTCACCGCGAAGCATTTGCACTATGTGAATGACCTTGCTTTCCGGACCCGTTTGATGGATAAACTGGAAGATGGGGAGCTGCGAACGAGAAGGGAGTCAAACGATGATTTCCCACGATCGTGGAATATTTGTCATCTGGGATCTGTAAGTATGGATACCAGCTTCAGCACCTTTCTCTCATACTCCATATACCACAAACATCATAGAAATTATAAGGTGTTATATTTGTATGATATATAAATAGGGCTGAGAATTTTCTAGATGCGCTTGTTTCCTCTTCGTTTGCCCGTCAGTGTGTCCATTTAATCGCGGATCTTCTGAAAATGCGGTCGAACTTATTGCCTGTGGAATCCAGTAGGAATATCCTTTACCAGAATATTGACGGAGAAATCTGCGGCAAGAGTAGGCTACGTGCAGCAAGTGATGGTTTAAACAATAACGCACAGTATGTTGATCCCTAACAAAACAACTATTAGGTAGTTATGAGCAAAATCGTGGTCGAAACTCCGTGGAGGATTAAATAAAACAACCGTTTTGCATAACATCTGGTGTTTATCCGTTGGTAAAGAAAGATGGTGCAGCGAAATGAGTGCACTGTCAACTCGGGGTTTGAATTCTGTCACAATGGATGTACAGTTGACAGATTCCGATAGCTCATTCCACGACTTGCAAACACGTACAAAAATGAGACTGAGACAGCAATCCGAATGACCATACTGTGCTACCAACTTGTAATGGTGGCCTCTCAATTTGCTGTTGTGACTGAGCTCTATCAATGGGTGACCCACGTGGTTAGAATTCTCAAAATATGGCAAGTCAAAATTACGTTCCAGCGTAATCGCTGATAAATGTTCGCTGAAGACCCAGAACACTTGAAGACTTCGCCCATTCGGCAACTTATACAAACATCTGACATTTGCGGTTGCTCTGTTTTTTGGTATCTCACAGGCTGTGAGATCTCTCCGCAGCCATAACAGTCAGACCTGTATTGGTTATTTTACCTGTGGACGTACGTTTGTGCCGAAAACTTGTTGGAAACCAAAAGATCGAATCGGCAGAATGCACGCTCTACGAAGCCCACGTGTTGGATGACCCTGGTTGATGCCGTTTCAGCTTGCTTCAAACGTACAAGGTCAGCCTGGATCAAAACACCTAGATCAACTTCTCCAGAAGATGTTTGAAGCACTTGGTTGCCAATTTGCAGGAATACGCCAGCTGGTTCTGTAAGTGTGGCACACTAAATGTCTACATTCGATTGAATTAGATTAAAGCTTGATCGCCCGTAAACCCTCTGCAAGTGGGCTTGCATTACTGCGATATCACCTGGTGTATCGATCTGCTTCCACACTATGGTGTCACCGGCATAGAGCAGGCAGTCCGAGTTTATGAGACTTGTGATCTCGGTGATATTCGTTCGAAATAACCTTGTTTCTAGTACTTATTCCTGTGGTACTCCGCACTCGACACGAATGGGATCTGACAGGGATACGCGCACTCCACTTTTGATCCATTCTAGGAGAGGATCACCAATAGCAAAGATTTAGAGTATGGAGAGCAGAATGTCATGATCTAACCGATCGAAGGCTTCCGAGAATCTCAGAAAAAATACATCAACTCATATGCCAACGTCTACTGCTTCGGTTCAACTGGATCGTGCTAGTGGTAAAGTTGTAGTGCACGATCCACTTCGTCAGATTTTATGCTGTTTCGGTGCAAGGTGGTCAACTTCTTCCGAGCAGACGGTTAGCGAATTAGAAATACTAGCTTCCATGATCTTTGAAAGAAAGGGTATAAAGATAATCGCATGGCAGTTAGTTGCATCGGAAAGCGCACCAACCTTGTGAAGGGGAGCAATCATCCAGTGTTTCCATGTCGAGCAGGTACCTTTCTCCTAAACAGTTTTGCGGGGATCGTTCCAAATGTTCAGCTAATCTTTCTTTTATCACCGCTAGCGACCTCGGGCAAGCGCAGGGTATTTGACTTACCCTTCGGTGCCTGTGTGAGTCCCTCAGCTGTTTGAAGTGGAGGAATTCCCCGTTTCACCTTGCGGACTGTTTAAGTGTTGATACAGAAGGTTTTGGCTTAAAACAATATCCATTGCCAACTTTTGCTGGTGTGTCATTCTACAATCGCAAGGGAGCTGAACACAGTTATCATGTTGAGTCACATAGACCATTCAGGTCTCGGTGCTCGAATACAGCTTATCGATATAACAGGCTGAGTTTCGCATGGCAATACTCTTTCGTGTTTTGCTCCACAAAACCGAGTCCACCTTTCACGGTAGACAGTTTTAGCCGCTGCAGCTTTGGCAACCCGTATTTAACTGGTTGACATAATGTTCCCATGCGCAAACCGGTGCCTCGTCTGCCGGTTAGGTTCAACTAGTTTTTTCGCTTATTCGAGTTGATATATCCTAGTATGTAGACTTTTGCGTCGGCAATTTCCAAGTAATATTCTGCATAACAGATATATTTGAAGAGTAAGACTATATGAAAGCTGCAGCCCGAGGGGATGTCAACTGTTACCATCCTATCGTCAGTTCTTCTTTGCTAATAATCTGATAAAATGTACGCGACTTTCTTTGTCTCTGCATCTAATGGGGGTGTGTTTATGTGGCCATACAGCGGAAAACTGTAGACAATCTCTTGTAGATCCGCCTTGAATCGTTTTTCTGTAGCTATTTGCGATTCCACAGCATGGATGCTGAAATCCTCAGTAATAAGAGTGCGACCGTAGTTCTTGTTTATCACCCGCCTTAATGTGAATACCAGATAGAAGTCCATCTCGGGTGTAGAGGAGAGAGGGAAGTAAACAGGCGTCACTAAGCAGGTATCGTCGCCTTTTAAACATAAACAGCACCATAGGGGATCCTGTACTTATCTGACCAGATACCCCATGAGCTCACATTGGAGAACACTGCGAAAGTAAAAATCTATCCTCCTTTAGGCGAACCAAACGGTGGACACACCCGGCAACGCGATCCCGATGTCACTTATATCTGGACGTAACCGTGTCTCCGTTACAGCAATGAGGCCACTGGACTTTAATCTTTAGCCCAACTACAGTTTGGGATGTTTACTAATTAATGCTTTGGCATTCGCGTGCATAAATTCAAACCTCTTGAATATCAAAAGCTTTTGATAAGGAACAAGGGAATGAGGTAGATTTCTCCGGCCGTTTTTTGGGTGAGTTGCCAAATCTCACCTGCACCTGCGATATGTGGTTCAACTTGAGCTTCCTCATTGGCTGCTAGTCTTGTTACATAGTTTTCTACGTCGATGTTGTGATTATATGTAGGCGCGAGTGGTATGGTTTCCGTATCGACAGCGAGTTGCTGCGGTGGTCTAACCTGTCTTTAGTCGCAGTTTCGAGGGATTTGTGTTGCTTAATAACTGTCAGCTACGCATTAATACCACAGCCAACTGTTGTGACTATGTTATTACTATAAGTGTCATCGGGTCACTGGTTTTGTAATGTGGTGACACGGATAACCGGGTAATTAACTGAAGTTTAGCGCCACCAGCACAAGGAACATCACGGATGTGCCGCTATTTATCTATGTCCTGCGCATGGGCTTCTTCGTCGTTAGATGCCGGTAGCTCGGACACACCATGAAGGAAGATTATTCTTCTAATACTCTCCGTGCAGTAGTCATTAACTTTCTTCTTGCCACTAATGTTCACTACAAGGAACATCCGGAAATATGGGTATCTCACTGTTTTCCATCCACAGGTGGTATCCCGACAAAGACCTCGTCTCGACAACATCTGTGGATCCCAATTTTGCACACATTAGCCGGTACTCCGCGTAGTGCTTCGAGGTTGGATGTTTAGCGAAGCACATTAACTTAGCCGGCCTGGCCTGAACTACGAGTCTCTGACAAGAATAATTCTACTCCATTGAATCATCCTGCTGCTTCCCCATTAAGGTCTTAGGAACGTTGGTGCACATAAGTGCCAAGGCGTTGTTGTTCCGCCTGGTCTCCGGTGTTGTTTGAGGCACGGATAACATGGGCTTTGGTGACGTCTCTGCAGGCTGCGCCTGGTTGTTGACCCGTGTTATGGCTGTACAGAATGAGGCCACTGAAGTTTGACTTTGATGATATCACACAGCGACGGTTGCGTAAGTGGATCTGTCTTTAGTATACTTCGGATTTTGTAGGTCAATCGAAATGGTAAGTATAACCGGTGTTGCATCTGCTGATACGTTGGACAAGTGGATGTGGGCGGTGGAGCTAGACATACTTCGATTGCTCGCGATGAATTGTTGGTTCGTAGTTTCTAAGGTTTTTGGTACTACCAGGCTGTTTGAAAGCCTTGCTTTTGTTTTGGTTTCCAGATAAAAACTGGGAAAGACGGATGAGGTGCATTCTGTGCCATTGTCGTATCGAACGAAACAAGTTTCTCATTTAAACAGGGTTTACTATTGCCAACAGACTCTCGTAGTTCTGTGCTAATGCTAGTATGCATTTTACGATTGGAATCGTCGTACACCCAAGACAGAATTAAACTAGCCTAGCATGCTTTTTTGGTTCGAAGACTGACGCACTTGGGTTGGTAACGGCTAGCGCAATAGTAAGAAACCAAACATGCTCTCACTAATTCATCACATGTTTGATTAGCAAACAATACTTCGTTCCGGTTTACGGGCGTTGTGGTCATCACAGCCGAATGGCCGTTGAATGTATTACAGGTAAACATCGTCTCGCCGTCGGTTGGCGTTCGGTCGTCAATCGTCTTGTCTAAATTAGATGACGGGGCTCCTCGTGCTCTGTGGGTTGTGTCCGTACGTCATACGATCGCGGGTAGGAAATCTGGTATAAACAGTTATCGTTCCTGGCAGGCCGGTTGATCACACCGGCTGAGATCAAGTGCAGCGAAACTTGACCTTTACTTTCCTCAGAGGGTTTCACAATCGGAACGTAGTTTGCTCTGTAGGTGTAACGCACGGATAAGGAAGCAGATAAGTGAAAGCCCGATCTAACGCAACTAGCCTCCAGCATCTGAAAAGTTACATGTTCTGGGTATATGTCTAAAACCGCGCAAAATTTTGCTATTGAATAATTCGAAATTTTGCGC